AATCTTTTAAGTGTGACAAATATGCAGAAAAATAAGAACTCAGGAAGGGGGCCAACACTTTTTTCACACCACTGTACATATATACACACATTTTGTGCCTCAGGCATTTTCTTTTTTACAGCTGACACCAAAAATGCCAGCTGAGGCTTGCCGAACCGATTCTGCCTCACCCCTCTCTATTTAATATAATGTGTGCGTGAGCACAATCAGTCACTCAGTCCGGCCCCTCCCACCTCTGAATCATATTCACCCTGTCAAAAACACTAGCTGTCTCAGTGGGTGTTATAATACATCTGGTTGTAAAACCTACAAAACAGTAGGTTTTACGACAGGCACTTAGTTTCATTTTCAATTTGATGTGCAAATATATAAAACAAAATGAAAAATAAAACAATAAATTTAAATGCTAGATAAATTAAATGAAATAAAATACTACAATGAATAATATTAAAATAAAATCTATTTAAATATATAAAATATAAATAAATATGCAAACAAAAATACTATTTTAAGTATATTAATGAAATAAAATACAATAAAATGAAATAATATTAAAATACAATTTAAATTACAAAACAAAATGAAAAATAAACAATTTTGTAAAATAAAAACAAAAAAAACCTACAATAACTTAAAATACTGTATGAAATGAAATAAAGTACAAAAATATGAAATAAAAATGTCAATAAAAATACTACTTTAATAAAATGCAATTTAAATAAAATGATTGTAAGATAATTAAATAAACATTATGAAACAAAATGAAAAAAGTAAAAAGAAATCCAAAAAATAAATAAAATAAAAAAGTAAAAAAATCTTTATTAAAATGAAATAATGTTTAAATGAAAAATATTATTTAAATAAAATTGTAATTAAATAAAAAATAAATAAAATAAAGAATGTTTACTCTGCACATTGCTCTCATACTCATTGGTGTCATAATGACACCATCTTCCCAACCAAGAAATCTGAGTCCAAATACAAGATATCCCATCAGCTTCAGCTTTTTCAGACTTGTGTGCACTTCCAAACACATGTAATTGGGTGCAGCGCTGATGGTTGGGCACTGGTGAGGTGGCAGGGGGCCAGACGGGCCTGGAAAGTTCCCAACTGTCAGCAGCTGCTCCCGCCATTGTCACCTAGTCTGTCAGCAAAAATAGCCTGCGAGAGGTACACACACACACACACACACACACACAGAACCAATACCCCATATCAGCTGATTCCCTGAACAGATCAGCCAGAACTTGTCCTCTCCCACAGACACACACACACACATTAGTGACAGCTCATCATTTTTCATTGACAGTTGTATCATCGATCCAATGAGTGCATCTGCAATAATGATTCAACTCGCTGTTGAACAAATTCAATCCCAGTGCACTGATCTAATAAAGGCACAGATGCTGCGATGACGACATCAGCATGCTGACACAGAAACGCTCATTCTCCCATCCATCCACACAACATGATGCAGGATCATAAAGGCTTAGCTCACCACTAAAATAATAAATGATATCATCATTAACTTAAACGGCCTTATGTCTTTTAAAAGGAGCTTGTTCGGGCTGCTCTTCTTCATACAATGAGAATGAATGGAGTGGGTGCTGTTGAACTCCAAAATGACTAAAAAGCAATATAAAAGTATGTAATGTGTTATACACTACAGTCAAAAGTTTGGAATAATTAAGATTTTGTAAATGTTTTTGATAGAACTCTCATGCTCACAAAGACTGAATTATTAGACCAAAAATACAGCAAAAACAGTAATATTGTAAAATATTACAATTTAAAATAATTTTTCAAATATATTTTAAAATGTAATTTATTCCTGTGATAAAAAGCAGAATTTTCAGCATCATTATTCCAGTCTTCAGTGTCACATGATCCTTCAGAAATCATTCTATTCTATTATAATTTATTTTAATTAGAAATATTTCTATTTACAATGTTAATGACAATGTTAATATTTTGCTGCTTAATACTTTTGTGGAAACTATGATAGACTGCTATTCAAAGGTTTAGTGTCAGAAAAAAAGGAAATTAATACTTTTATCTAGCAAGGACTCATTAAATTGATCAAAAGTGACAGTGAAGACATTTATAATGTTACAAAAGATTTATGTCAAATAAACACTGTTCTTTTGACCTTTCTATTAATCAAAGAATCCTGAAAAAAAGTATCATGGTTCCCTCAAAAATGTTAAGCACCAAAAACATTTTAGATAATAACTGAGCAGCAAATCAGCATAATAAGAATGATTTCTGAAGGATCATGTGACACTGAAGATTGGAGTAATGATGCTGAAAACTCAGCTTTGCATTTTAAAATATATTTAAATAGTTGTATTTTTCACAATATCATTATTTCACTGCATTTTTGATCAAATAAATGTAGCTTTGGTGAGCATAAGCGACTTTTTAAAAACATTTAATTATCCCATTATTCCATTGATTTAGACCAGTAGTGTATATCAAGTCATCTGAAATCTATAATGTCTTTGTAACAATCTACAACACTTAACATCTCAATTCATGTAGACAGTATGTTTCAAAACTTGAAGGAAACCGCTCAGGCCCTAAATAAGTGAAATCTTTTGTCTTTAAGCCAAAGTCAAGCCACATGCCGTCCATCCTGACAGTTTAAACATAATCCAAAGAGACTCTGTCATTCAGATATCAAAGAAATGGCTCTTTTCCTGGATGCTCTGTAAGGAACAGATGGCTAATGCCTTACTGAAAGCTGTTTCAAAGGGGCTTCTAGGAATGTACACAGGATAATAGAAATAAGTACTATTAGACACTTATGAATGCAGCACAATTATATAACTCTGAGATAATGTAATCTTTATACTTTTTACCATTAATGTTTCATTGGTTTCTTTCTACGACAAATAATCTCGGCCATCCCTCGCTGTGAGCCTCACTGACAGATTTGAATGAGTTCATGAGTTGCAATTTTCCAAAGAGTATTTTAAAATCTTAAACTGGTTTAAGAACCAGTTTCAACCATTGCATGCACTATAATAATATTATAATGCTTTATATAATAACAAAAACAATAAATTATGTTGTAAGAATATGTTATCTTGTTGGTGCTGAGAATATCTGTGTCATATATATTTGTACTTTATCCACCAAATATTGATCTGTCATTCAATCCAAAACATTACTTTATGCAGAAAGAAAAAAAAAATTATATATATATATATATATATATAAATACAACCAATTGGAGAACACTAAAAAGATATGGTTAACAATAAAATTTTTCTTTAGACCACAAGATATTTGATTTTCTCTACATGAACATATTACTGAGGTCACCCTTACAGAAAAGCCACATGCTGAAGCCTCAAAATGTCATATTAAACAATATAATTTTTTTTGCTTCATTTGAATTTTATGGCAACATCTATTCTAAGTTAAACAGCTGTTTTTGTTCACTGGTCAACTTTAATCAAACATCATGCAAATCCTCATAGGAGATCGACAAATTATATTCCTGCGCAGTTGGCGATAGTACTATAATTTTCTTTATGCATAAAAACACAATGATGTTTGTTTCATGTGTTCAGAAAAATGTATGGTATACAACAAATAAAAAAGAAAAATTGTTAAAAAGTACACACAGTATATATTTGAAATCTAATAGGAAAAATATTTTTTTGTTAGAACATAAGCATACCACAGAGTGTTAATGTTAAATATGTATTATTAAAAAAATATTTTAAATGACTAATTTTGTACAAACCTACACAAATAGTTTGAGGGAAAATGAGAATAAGTAACTTGTGGAGGTCTGAACAGCGCATTATTTGAACATGAATCTGTTGGAAAGTTGGAGCATTCGGTAAACAGTGACGATTTCGGTGTGATGCACTAGCAACGACTTTCCTCCTGCACTCTGACATTAAAGAGACAAGCCTGACTGACTGCAGAGACATTGTAAACCCGCCATCTGTGCCATCAGAGACTGACTGAGAGAAAATGTGTCCCTGATCACTGCTAAACGCACAAGAGCAGGTCACGCAGAAGACAGATGTAGGGTTATGTAATGGCCAGAGGAACGCACACCTCTGAGATCCACAAGTTGTTTACCAGGTCATGATCACATCACCTGCCCACACACCTGCCAGTATCACTTACACACACAAACCTCATCTGCACTCCAGCGTCCTGAAAGACACGGCACAAAGCAGCTAGTCTGTGGTTCAGTCTCATAACATTCAAACATTTGGGGTCTGTAAGATTTTTAAAGATGCTTTTGTCACTTATACTCACCAAGATGGCATTCTTTTGATTAAAAATAGTGTAAAAAAAATTGCTATATTTTATTATATTTTAAATTTACTCCTGTGATGAGAAATCTGAATTTTCAGCATCATTACTCCAGTCTTCAGTGTCATATGATCCTTCAGAAATCATTCTAATATGCTGATTTGCTGCTCAAGAAACATTTCTTATTATCAGCTGAAAACAGTTGTGCTGCTCAGCATTTTTGTGGAAACTACAATTATGTATCATGTATTCTTTGATGAATAGAAAATTCAAAAGAACAGCATTTATGTGAATTTTTAAATAACATTATAAAAGTATTTACGTTTCATCAAACTGTGTAATTGCTGAACAAAACAAAACTTAATGACCCTAAACTTTTGAATTAGTATATGGGTAATTTTTTTAATCCAAAATTAATAAAATAAGTAAAAGATTATATTTTGCATAAAAAGAAACCTATTTTTTGAATCATAACATCTTTATGACAAATTAAGCACTTTTTTTCTCACACAAATTCACATGAATTTAATAAATCTGGACATTTATTTATTTATTTTTGCAGTATTTCTCAATGGTGAGTATCTTTATTCATTTCATTTTTATGTAAACATCAGTAATTGACATAACATTACAATAAATAAATAAATAAATATATTTATTTAAATATTTATATTTATATATAGAAATATTTATTAATTACTTTCTTTCATTTTTGTGGTGAACTATGAGCTTCTCCTGACAGGTTTTGTGAGATTCGTCCTTATGCCAACAGAAGGAAGAGGCAACAACTTTCAGAAACAGTAAGCTTGTGTAATTGGCCCCCGGGGTCGTATGAAATACACTTGGGTCTTAGCAGCAAAAAAAAAAAAATCTACACACTCAGCAAGAACAGTGTATAGACAGTCAAGGGCAAAGTAAGCAAGCACAGGAAAATGCCCCTTTAGAAAAAGAGATATCCAAAACAGCCACAACATCCACAAGAGGAGAAATGCTCTATTGTGTGAACTACAAAGACTTTCCATGCACCATTCTGGAACTTGTGGGATGAATCAGAATGGTACTTCCCATTGGAGAACTCCTGATACTATAGCTACAAGCGCAATGCCACAATACCTTCTGTGGCACAAACAAAAAAGTCAGAATTGCGAGGAACTAAGTCTAAACTATGAGGAAAAAGTCTGAATTACCTTTTTGTATTTATTTTTTATTCTGTGGTGGAAATGGGCTTCCATACCATACAAACAAAATTGAAAACATTCAAGCATGAACAAGCCAAACTTTTAGCAAAATGCATTTATTAACACAGATTAAGTCATTTAATATGCAAAAAATAACTAATGATTTACAGGGCTCAATAGAAAGGAAGCCTTGACTACATATGAACTAAATCGCTGCCACATTATTATCTAAAAATACAACGACTTTCAAAATAGAAACCATAAAGGGGAAAAACCAAGAGGTCTGCGCAGAGTAAGATTAGTCCAATATCTCACTTTACCCACAATCAGCCTTGAGGAGGGACGGTGCCGTTCTTCTACCAGGAACTGAAGTCTCCAAAACCTGTTCTGCCTTTGGGTTTCTTGGCAGGAGCTTCACTAGTGGAGGGTTTTTCACCATCTGGGTGGGAATGTTTCCTGATGAAGAAGAGTGAATAAGATATTAAAGTTAATTAGGTTTGTGTAATTGATTCAGTAGTGATTATGTGAGTCCAGCCTCAGCACTTTGTCTGGCACGTTTCAGAGCACAATGTTTTGTGCATCTGTCACAAAATGCAGGTTTTGCAAATAAAAAGCTGTTATTGAATGAAACCGCAGCAAATCTGGAACTTGAATGCAAATGCTATTACTCATCATTTCACATGCAAAGAGTTTAGCCAATGACAATGGAAGTCTTTTACATACAGAGCTCTTAAAGGTACAGTAGCCTGTTCAAATCTAAGGTTCATAGAAAGGGTGAAATTAAAAACCTACACTTTCAGTAGTAATTAGTCTTCTGTTATCTTTAAATCAGTGTTTACCTACAATAAAAATGAATGTCATACAATAATTAAAAAAAAGTATAAAAAAAAATAAAACTAAAGTAAAAAAAAATACAAAACAAGAATAAGATATACCTAAAATACAAAAAGTATACAAATAGTACAAAACAAAATACATGGCAGATTGATCTCATTTGCATTTTTTAAAACATTCTGAAACAATAACAAAAAAATAATTGATCTTTTCTTTCTCATTTTCTAAATTCCTCTAATAGAATCTTAATTGCCAGTTCTTTGAGTTATTTTGAGCTCATTTAATTATCTGAACCCCATGCTTGTGTTTGTGTGATTAGCAAAAAGTCAAAATGAAATTAAGCATATTTTTTCATAATACTTGCAGGCAGCATGTGCATATGAAAAATGGCACTGTTCCCATCAGGTAACAGTGATGTGTGTGTGTGTGTGCGCGAGAGAAGCAGTGGGGTTGTGAGGGATAATTAGAATGATCTCCTGCTGTTCTCAGTAAACTTTGCTGATATCCTGAGTCCTGCTGTGGCGTGGGACAAACCCCTCACTAGTGACACCCACAAACACACTCATTTACCATCAGAGCAGCTTTATATAAGAATTATCTTGCCATTATGAGATCCATACATCTGTACCATTACAAAAATATTAACCATGGTAAACACTGGCCAAAATACCGTAGTAATGTAGTATCTATCTAATTATTACAAAGATAGAATAACAAAGTTCTTCATATTAGACTATAAATCAATTCTGGTTAAATCCTTTTTTTTTTTTTGCCATAATGCTGTAGATTCAGTGTGAAAATGTTGTAATCCTATTACCTTTTGATAAATAACAACAGATAACATTTATTTTTAGAAACCAAACAAAACATTGCTTTTCATGAATATTTTTTTGTGATAAAGATGAGGATTACCAGAGTAAATTTCAGACTTTGAAAGTCAACAGACTTTATGTATTCAATATGAATCATTTCTGTGCTAGCAGGAAAGCTTCTAGTAATGTAACTCATATTTGTTGCCCCAGTAATGATCAAATAACCTCCTCACTGTTGCAAGAGAAGTATTTGTGGATATTCAACTGAAATAAATCAATGCAATATCTCGCAATATAAAAAGATCTATCAAGTCTTGTAATATTACACAGTTTTCATATTCAACTGCTGGGCATCATCACAGATGTGTGTGTGTGTGTGTGTGTGTGTGTATGAACTCAGGTGGCAGCTGTGTTGATGTATTTGCCCACTCCTGGTCTGAAGGTTTTAGGCTTGTCCTCTGTTTTTGCCTTGTTGACTGAAGCAGAAGTTTGCGCTCTCTCTTCTTCCTGTTTCTGTGCTTCCTTCTCTCGCTCGGCTGCAATCTAAACATACACACATTGTCACATCAACGGCACAACATGAAAACACAACAAATATGATATTGACTGTACATGCATACAAATGCTGACCTGTGTATCGGCTTCCTCATACGGGTCCACAAATACTGTAGTGCTCAGCAACTTTATCTCAGACTGATAATGTAAAGAGAAACAGAGAGTCAGAGAAAACACTCTTCACTTATTAGCATGCTGTTACCATTTCAGAAATGTAAATCTTGAAAAGGAAAAACAAAAAGCACTGAAGCAAAATGTCCAGAATTCTACTGCCCCAAGCTATAATATTTTACAAGAAGACAAAAATGGTTTAAATTCTGCTGTTTTAAATTGGACTATTTTCTCTTTTGGCATTGTGGGATTTGACAGCAGGTGGAAAAATATAAACAAACAGGAGGTACCGTGAGTCAACATAAAGCACGCACAGCCCTGCACTGCTGACACCCGCTTGTGCAATCGAATCGTACATTTCTGATGCTACACAAGGGAAATAAGTGGCTTCAGCACCTTGGGTTTGTCTGTCTTCGGATCACTTTCAACATTCTCCAACGCTGTGAGGGTCTCTAAACCACCAACCACTCTAAAAGAGAGCAAGAGAGGGACAGAATCCTATTAAAATCCTGCTGCAAAGAGTAAATGAGGTATTATTCAGGGCCAAGTGGTGATAATATCTCTAATGAGACCGAATCAAACTCTCTCACTGTAGCCAACAATCTTCAACTTTTCTTAAAGGAACAACACATCCAAAAATGAAAATTCTGCAATTTATTTATCCTCATCTTGAGCTGTTATGCTACAAGAAGAGCAAAAAAGGACCAAAGCAGTACATACAATTCAAATACATGCTATATTTTAAGTCTTTTGAAATAATACAACAGCTTTTTAAAACTATTACTACTATTGAAATCATTTTCAGTAAGTAAAATAAAATATTACATGAAAATCGTAAACTTGCATGAAAATAAGTGATGTTGCTTTGGCAATGTAACTGAAATAAACTTAAGTTGAAATACTAAAATGAGTCAAACTAAAGCTTAAATAATAATAAAGTAAAGCTAAATAAAATATTTAAACAAAATGACAAGCACATAAAATTACAAAAACTGAAAATCTAATTCAAATGAATAAATACTATATATAGTATTTGGCTTTTAAGTCACTACTACTCTTGCAAATATTCCAACTATGGCTTCAGAAGATTTGGAAAATTGTGCTTCTATAATAATTTTTTAGTAATCATTTTAGTAATTAACTTTTCTTAACAGCAAACAATTCTACAACATGCAAATGATGCCCCATTTGTCTTGTTTGTTGCGTTGGATCTATATGTACACATGCGGTGTACTTTCTCTCTTTGTACAGCTGTTCCGATTAAACAGGAGCCTCAGGTTTATAGGTGCCCCATAGGCTGTGGGTGTGTGTACGTTCTCACTGCACATGCTCAGTAAGTACACACAGACTGAGGGTGCATGTGAGTGTGCACAAGAGTTTGGTTCAGGCTTATGCTGACAAGCCTCTGAATTCCACAGCTAGAGTCCAAGGATTTCAACTCAATGCCAAATGTGCAAGACTTTCCCTCAGAGTGCAAGTGTGTGTGTGTGCTGGAACGTTCTGATTCAACAGAAGACATGCTCTTCCCCAGCAAGGGCTTCACACAGAGAAATTAGAAAAATCATCATTTAACCTACACTGGAATCACCGTAATGAACACAATCTCTACACAAATACACAAACAAGCATGCATTTTAAGATAAACATATACTACCATTCAAATGTTTGTGGTAAGATTTTTTTATTTTTAAAGAAATTAACACTTTTATTCAGCAAGGACACATTAAAATGATCAAAAGTGACAGTAAACACATTTATATTAAAAATATTTCTATTTCAAATAAATGCTATTCTTTTGAACTTTATAATTATCAAAAAACCTAAAAAATGGCACCCACTGACAGATGAGCCACGAGCACTTTGTTATATGTTCTACATTTCATGTATTTATGTAACACATATTCTACATAAAAAAATTCATTTAGAATGAACAATAACTGCTGTACAAAGAGTAAAAAAACCACACCTAATGCAGAAAAGCCGCCTCTTTTTCTGAATTGCGCAGATGACCACTATCTTTCTTTCATTTCTTCTGATAAATTTTCAGTCAAATCGTTTTCTGTGTGCTAGATCAGAGCTAGAGCCCTGCATTTCAGCCCGGGCCCGGTGGGCCCTGACTTTTTTACGCCCCTCGGGCTGGGCTTCGGGACAATTTTCACGTCATAGTTCAGACGCGGGCAGGGCCTCGGGCCTGTTTTAAGCTTCTCCTTATTTTTATATTTTAGACATCCATCAATTAGTGATGAAAATTTAATTATTTACTAATAAACTAGTGTTTTCTGAGTCGGTGTCGCAAGGATGAAGTTGTCGATTCTGACTTGCCATCTCTTCATTAGACACGCCTTTAGAGAGAAGTGGATCTTTACAGATTATGATCATAATGAAGGAGTTTTTGTTTTTTATTTGTTTTATTTCGTTTAGTAGTAATTTAAAGCTTTCTATAGATATATTTATCATGTCTGTGAGGCATGTTTTCGCTGAGTTTCGGTTCATTTTTGTGAAGCGCTCCTGTTCAAGACGAGATGGCAGAAAGTACATCATGTTTGATTTCTTTATTTTATAAAAGCACAACGTTTTGTTGATATTGTGAGTGCACACAAATAAAAGTAGACCCTTTACAGTTACGAATGATGTATTAGTCTTACCTTTATGAGCAAAAATGATGGTGTATCCACTGAAATAAAATGCAAGTGATTGCGCTGGCGTCTCTATGTCCTGCAAAGCGTGCTTCAGCTTCCACTCTCTGCGCAAACTATTGGATACAGCGCACATTTATCTAGGTTTAACGTTTAAACATTGTTATATGCTTGAACTGTTTTATATCTATAGATTTTATTTTAGTCAAGTCGTGATGATTTGAGAAGGCTAAATTGATCAAACATATGCTCACTGTCTGCCGCTGGCCGCTTGGTCGTTACTTTAAATGCATAACGTTAATTAGGCTATGCGAGTACTGCTCATGTCTGAAAATAATATATGAAAAACTAAATTAATTTACATAAAAACATTAGGCTATAGCTTATATTTAGTAAATTTTTAAATTAATGTAAAAACTAAAAAGATTTGTAAAACTGAAAGTATTTTTTTTTTAAATTGTGTTCAGCACGGTGGGCCGCATTTGAATTTGTGACGGGCGAGAACCACTGTTCTGAAGGATTATGTGACACAGAATACTGGAGTAATGGATGCTGAAAATTCAGCTTTACCATCACAGAAATAAATAATAAATAAAAAAACATTTATTTAAATTTAAAACCATTTTTAAATTGTAATAATATCTCACAATATTACTCTTTTTATTTTTGATCAGATAAATGCAACTTTGGTGAGCATAGAAGACTTTCTAAAGCATTAAATAAATCGTAAAGAATTTTTTTATTTTTTTTTAACGGTAGTGTAGAGATTAATGATTGATATCACTGTCAGTTATTTTCCGTTATTTTGTACAGGAAAATGCATGTCAGACTAAAACATTGAAAAAACGTCACAGCTATAAATCGCAATTTCAATTATTTATTCAACTAATTGGGCAAACCAAAAATACTTAAAAACCCTTTGAAATCGATTTATTTTTAAAAGAGCAGTCATAAAACTTGATTTTTTTTTTGCCCTGATTAAGCTGTTAGACTGTGAATGTCCCATTACTGAAGACAAATAAATCCAAAAATAAAATTACCTTCCAAACACACTGTGTTTCCTGTCCAGGTATGTGCATGAGCGAAATGTTATAAAGCTGAAAGTAAACAGAAAAGAAAAGTTTTCGTGAGGGCAATTTCATACTTAAACTATATTTGCATTTCATGAGCTAAACATCAGTGCTTACAAAGGCAACAAAAATAGTGTTGAATTTTCAAGTCAATTTAGGCTTTGATTCCTCCCATTTGATATTGCTGGTTACAGAGGGTTAAAGAAGTACAAAAAAGACAAGACCAACCAGAATTCAGTATGCAAATATCAGAATGACATCATAGGTGTTGGTTAGATGTAGAATGCAGAAAATTCTAGCAGTGTCAAAGGTTAATATTTAAAACTGAATCTTACATTTCTGTTAAAGAGGTTTATAAAAACCCAAAGCAACATCAGGTTAAAGTGATACAAAGTTTGAACGGAGTCTGAATTAATTGCAGAAGTTTAATACTTCAGAGGTTAAAAACAACCTCTAAACAGAGCGTTTGATATTAATCCAGTCACTGTAATGAGCAGATGAAACATTTACTCACAACTGGGATTTATTTGTGTTGGGTCCTGAGTTAGCCATGCTCAGAATACCACGACCCGTGTGAGACAGATTGGGTCTGAACTCGTCCTTGAATGGCTTCCCCCAGTAAGACTCTCCTCCTAATACACACAACAACAGAGAGAGGAATGCCAGGAGGGGGGAAAATATGGATATTAAACACAATGGGGAGCATGTGTATGAGATTAAGAGTAACACAATTTCACGCCAATAACAACCCTGCTGTATGCGGCATCACATCTGTAGTCTGGTATAATTACAGTGGAAGAATAAAAGCAGTGATCCAGCACAACACGAAAACATAACATTTACACAAACAGAAACACATCGGTTTACACTAGCGGCACCAAACAGGATTGCAAAACATATTCTGGTCCCCTTATATAGCTCAAGTCCCTTATTCAATGTCTTTGGGATTTTTTAGCTCATTTTATCGTAACTCTGAACACAAAAAGAAACACACTTCTTGATAAAGCCACACGATTTGAGGATAAATTCATGTCCGTAGCACAAATGATGGTGGGACAATTTACGCACTGAAGTTCAGTAGGTTTAGTTGTTTGTGCAAACCTCAAACACTAAGAATAAGCAATATGCTACAAAAAAAATAGAAAAAAACAAATACTAAACTGTGGCAATCCACAAATCTCACAGACAACAAACTATGGGGTCAGTAAGATTTTTGTCTTTTTTTTTTTGAAAATTAAAGTGACAGTAAAGACATTTACAATGTTTCAAAAGATTTCTGAAAGATCATGTGACTCTGAAGACTGGAGTAATGATGCTTTGCATCAAAGGAATAAATTGCACTTTAAAATATAATAAAAATAGAAAATACTTATTTTAAAATGTAGTCATATTTTATAATATTACTGTTTTCACTGTATTCTTGTTCAAATAAATGCAGCCTTGGTGAGCATGAGTCTTGTTTCAAAAACATTTAAAAAATCTTACAGACATCTTTTGAACATTAGTATGTAATGCAGTAGTCTGGTTATTTAATTCTTCCCACAGATTTTACACTGAAATATTAAAGCAGTTCAACTGAACGTGACCCAGATTGTCTTTTTGTCACTTCAAATCATTTGTGCCCCAGGCACAGGCACCATGCTTCGTCTTCTGCCACCATTAACAAACACCTCATGCCAAAGGCCTCCAAATCAGGTACACTAATTAATGCTTCATCACGCTCAATCAAAAGCTCTGCTGGATGCAGCTCTCGCAGCAAGCGAGTGATCGTGTGTGTGTCTGTGTGTGCGTGCAGAGACTGACATGAGACTCCGCTCAAATGCAAGATTAGGAACATTTTTCCATGACTGTTTTCTGAAACACCTGCACCTACTGAATTCACACAGTCATGTGAGTTTGAAAATGTTTTATACTTCTCAATGAGCAGTGGCACATGATTCTAGCTGTAGCAAGACAGGAAGGAGTTTAACGTCCAGCAGCTGCTGTCGTTGTGGAGCGATGGCTTTATGGTGCACCAATCTGCCTTTGAAAACTTGCACATCCTCATAAACATTCCCCAGGTGACATTTCTGCATAATTTATGACCTTACTGACATTTCTACCCCATGCCACTGACTTGATTAAAAAGGATGAGAAAAAAAAGAGGAGGATGAAAATCAACCGGACAGAATAACAAGGATGCCAAGATTAAAAACAACAATGGCAAGAAAAAGCGATTCATTTAATAATTTTGAGCACTTAAAGAGACCACATTACAGAAATATTAAAATCCAGAGTTAGATGGTTAAATTCAAGCATCTGTGGTCTGCTGTGGATTAGCGCAGACAATTTAGACAACAATAGTCTATGGGCCAAGTTCATTATAGATGTTGCCTAATAGATTTCCATAAAAGAAATAGTTCAGCCAAAAATGAAAATTTGCTGAAAATCTGCTCACCCTCAGGACATCCAAGATGTAGCTGAGATTGTTTGTTCATCGGAACAGATTTGGAGAAATTTAGCATTACATGATAATAAAATCATCACAATAATCCACAAGTAGGAAACAAATCCATCATTAAGCCATTTTAACTTTAAACCATCGCTTCTGGCTAAAACAGTCCATAACCCTGTTGTCTTCTCAATCCACCACCATATTTGTTTAGAACTGTTTTCGCTTGTAAACAGTGCTTGATCTGTGCATATACCGGTATATCTCCTGATGCTCCTGATTTAGCTGGAAGAAATGATTTAAAGTTAAAATGTACGGTGGCCGAGAAGTGCAAAGCAAATCACAATTCTGAAAACAAAATAACAAATTACAAATGCAAATGCAAGTCTAAAAAAACAAAATAACAATTCAGAAAACATTATAACAAGTCAGAAAACACAATGACAAATTCGAAAACAAAATAAGTCAGAAAGCACAACGACAAATCCAAAAACAAATTTTTTTGTTTGCTTTTTGACGCGATCGACCCGGGTTCGATCCCACTTTTTGCCGAACTTTAAAAAAAAAAAAGCCAACGACTAGCGCTTTTTCGAATTTGTCATTGTGTTTTCTGACTTGTTATAATGTTTTCTGAATTGTTGTTGTGCTTTCTGAATTGTTATTTAGATTTTTAGACTTGCATTTGCGTTTGTAATTTGTTATTTTGTTTTCAGAATTGTGATTTGCTTTGCACTTTACGGCCACCGTAAAAATGTCCTAATGATGGATTTGTTTCTTTCAAACACAGTTTTTCACTTTACAAGATGTTACTTGTGGATTATTGCGATGTTTTTATCGGCTGTTTGGACTCTCATTCTGATGGCACCCATTCACTACAGCAAGTGACGTAATGGCAAATTTTGAATTATTTGGAGCCAGAGGGGAATAGTAATAATTATACCATATATTTTACTTTTAATATTATGACTTAATTACTTTAAAAAAATGCAATAAACAATAAATCAGGTCCTTTGACCCATACATAAAAAACATAAATTTCATGCAAAGGCAATCTATTCAAGCTTGAAGTACCACATTCATGTTTTGAGTCTGCAGTGACTAATATACAATTAATTGTGATTAATCTGATTAACCGGCAATTAATGTAAAAACCCAATCATATGATTGCTGTAATTTGAACAAAGCAACAACAACTGGACACTTTGCAAATAAATACATCACAGCCAATGATTACCACAAAACTAGCGAGCCTATTTCAGGTTTGAAATATATGCTTTAAAATTATATACTATTTAGTATATTCTTTGTCATAGATTTTTATGATCTTTTCCTTTTTTCCTTTATGTATACAGATCTTTATATCCACACACTCATTCACAAACAGGTATATCTAAAGATGTCTGTGCATGTCAGTGTGAGTTGTGATGTCTTCTGTAGAACTGACAGCAAACTGCTGTGTAAGAAGCCTTCATTTAATTTTGTTGAAGAATCCTAGAGAATCATAATCACTGCACATTCATTCACAGTCTTAACAGCGCACCATTATTACAGAACGCTGCATCTCTTCAAAGCAACATTGTGTGATTTGTCACACTCTTGACTTTGCAGCATCCAAAACACATTTTGATAATTTGGTTACTATTATCTATTTTTCAACTAAATGGAGGAAAACAGGACAGCTGAACACATGAAAGCCTTCAAAATAATATAAATAAGCCACGTTATTATGGTTGGTATAACATTTATCAGTACATATCTTTTAATGGTTCATATTAAAGGAATAGTTCACACAAAAATGTCAGAAAATTTTTACTCACCCTCACGGTTTCAATCCTGTATGACTCTTTCTGAACCAAAATTTTTTATATAACACTGCTTGTTCCTCGATGCAATTACAAAGGTTTTGTACAAGTCATATGAAACATTTGTATGAAGAACAGATCGAAATTTAAGTTGTTATTCATTGTAGACTGAATCAGTCAGTTAAACTCAAGAATCAAACCAGTCTGATTAACTGGATTCAGTGTTGTTTTAGTATAAATAAAATAACTATTATTTTTTTTATTATTTTGAATTTGATTAGATTTTTTATCTTTTTTGTTTTCATTTTAATTTGCAAGTTTTAGTAATTTTGTTGGGTGGTTTTATCATTTTTATTAGTTTTTTTAAACAATATCTCTATATAGTTTGATTACGTTTTAGTTTATTTCGTTTTAGTTATTTAGTACTTCAACTTAAACTAAACAAAAAAGTTTAAGTTGTTTTTATATTTAATTTAATTTCAGTTAAAGTCAAGTAATTCATTTTTTTATGGTTTTAGTTTTCTGAATTAACAGATTCATTGAGAAGATCCAACTGGGGGGGGGGGGGATTAAAATAAACATTCCCAAATCACTAGGATGAGTTTTCAGTGAATAACTTTTATAAAATAGAATAAATTCTGTTCATCACACGATTGCTATCATATACGAGTCATATTCACTTTCATTAAATTAAAAAGAGGTGCCAGGATATTCTTCATACATTCTCCTTTTGTGTGAAGAAAGTAAGTCATAGAGATATGAAATGACACAAGGGTGAGTAAATAATGATTTTCGTTTTTTGTGTGTGAATTATTCCTCCAAAAAAAAGGGGCATGTGCCTTTAATTAGACTATTGTAATTATAATCAAGAGAATAGGTTTCTATAATAGTTGCCATTCTGACAGATAATCACAAGCATATGCAAATGCATCACAGAGGATTGAGGACACTGCAAACTCTTCCCTAACATCCGTGAACAGTCATTTACACTCTGTCCCACTCAAGCGACTAAAAGCACACATTTGATGCAAGGTTTCTCCCTCTTATTTGCATCTATTTTAGGTCAAATGCAAACCTCGTCTCAATGTGTTTGATAATATATGCAAGAGAATGACTGCAAGATCAAGACCTCCAAGTCTAATACTCAACACTTTAAAATGTACTCTCTGTTCATGAAAAATCTGTCGGTCTATTTCCCTCTTCTCCTCTTGCTCTCAATCCTTCTTTTTACGCAAGGGTCTCAGGTGAGGCTGGTGCATTTTTTATGGGATTGAATTTTAGATATATGGGGATAGAGTGCACTAACTCCTTACCCTTTCTGTTTCTCAGTTAGACCTCTACCTTTTAACACTCATGACCACAGGAAAACATCCCTCGCAAATGTGCATCAAAAAAGCTATTCAGATTGATGTTCTGACGAAAGCTCAGGTCATATTGTCTAGACAGCTCAGGAAAGTTTGAGAAAGTAATAAAATGCTCATCAGACCAACTGAATATGAAAAAGAATTTGCAAGAGCAAATTTTTTGATGAAAGACTAAACTTCCTGTAATAACTTCTACTCAAAAAACCTTTAGTAATTTTAAGGAGAATCACAAAAATGTGCATGAGTCATCCAACTGACTTATACTTGTAACTAAAACCATGCATTAAAAATATTTTGCACCTTGGTGAGGGTAGATGCCATATTTAATTTCATGTGATTGAAAACAAGGCTCTACTTGCACTTTCCTGGAAAAAGACCATGTTAAATATCACTATTGCTAACACTTTTCCAAACAAAGTCTGAAGACACATCGCGACCATGGAAACATTTGGATTCATGCCGAACCACGAGAGAGGTTAATTTGAATTAAGCCGTACATGGCTTTGTGTCCTGTTTTGCAGGTGGGTCACTTAAACTGTTAGAGAAGGGATTGTTAGCCTAACTTTCTTTTCTTTCAGTAAATGTCAGTCTACACAACAAGTGATTTGTAGACAAATTAGACATTACTGTTATTATCTCTTCCATCTACACTTGACCCTGCAAAGTTGCAAAGACTAAAGTCTCAAATCCAAAGAGATATTCTTTATAAAAGATAAGAGTCAGCCACACCTATCTAAAACGGCTCGTTCTAACAAGCCCCAACATACCTACGTTGCTCTGTGGGAAGATTTGCATAACGCTGCCCAAATGTTCACGCAAAGAAAGAAGGCGTAACTTTTATTCTCGCTGTAGTTTTGTTGTTTCCCGCCGCAATGTCGTAAAGACGCTGTGTGCTTCGTTGTAAAAGCGAAACTACTTTGTTTGGTCTTCCAAAAGAGGACGATATCTGCTTCGTCATGCCTAGAGCTGATCCGTGCTGGTCGCTGAGGAAATACATCAACTTTGCGCTGTGGATCGCTGGATCGGCTTTCACCGTGGAGGAAGCGGAGTCCAGCCCAGTCCTCATCGAAATTGCCGGCCACGCCGTTCTCAAGCCCGCGCGCCTCTGCTCACTCTAACCCTCCCGCCCTTCCTCACGCTAGCCCCCGGCCTCTGCTCACTGTAGGCCGCGGTGTGTGACGCTGGTTCGTTGTGAAAGCGAAACTACTTTGTTTGGCCTTCCAAAAATGGAAGCATGTCAACATATTCTGTTACACCAAATACACAAAATAATGATCTCTTAAAAAGCATCATATGACCCCTTTAATGATCTGTTTTTGCTATGATATTGGAGGTGAAATATATGGTATTTCTTCATGAGATTCAACCAAAGGGAAGCCAGTCTTCAATAAGTTTAAGCCGATCTCCAATTAAAGGAATGCAAAACATTCACATTAATGAAACTGCAGATTGTAGATTTAATCACTCATGAATATCACAGGAACTGTGTCCACTATAATTTCAGATGATGACTTAATTATTTTACTCAACATATGTACAAGCCCTTTTCGCAAAGCCCTTGAGTGCTACCAAAAGGACCGTCTGTGGGCTATAAAGGTCAATAAACTATTAGGTTTGTTAGTAATACATTTGGCAGCTTTGAATGTATGAGTCTGCTAGGTTATTCAGGAAGTGAAAGGCATGCTTATGTAAGATGCTGTTTAAAAAAAACCAAGGCACTGAAAGTTTAAGCAGTTGCTTCCTCTCCCGCACTGTAAATGTTTATTTGTTCATTTCTATGGCGATCAGACATCCCTCTCTTCACATAAAACCTCTGCAAGTCAATAAACTGATTTTGTGTTCAGAAAAGACATTGTGCAGAAGCAAATTCCACATTAAAGTTTTATAAGTCTCCCTGAGAGGAGGTCAAGCATGTCAAAACTTTAAAAAAAACAAAAAAACATTCAGATTTCAATGTCACACACTTATGCATGAAGGGCACACAGACACAAAAAACACCTACAAAAATAAAGTTGTCAAGTAAGATCTCAATCATCTGCTCCATCTAAACCTGACAGTGTTACATAACTGTCCAATCTAAATGCAATCAAGTGCTGTAAACTGTAAATCCTGGAAAAGACGACATTTGTTTAGAGAATGAAAATAAAAAGAAAGAAAATAATTAATCATATTTTGCTTATATAAATGGAGACTATTTTAGGAGGATTAAAGAATTTAGGTGAGTTTTTGCATTTACCTTATTTTCAAAATAATTATCAAGCACATTTCCCCCAAAATTCTCATAATGATAAAACTCAATTCTCATTATAGTAATTCAATATAAATAAACAAATAAATGATTTTTTAAATTAAAAATGATTAATATAATTAAATAAATATTATTAATAAAAAACATTTAAATTGTAAAGTGCATATACTGTACAGGCTAAATATTGTATTGTCTGTTTCATTTTAAAGTCATTGTGCTTACTGTATTTCTAACTAGATTGCAGTAAAATGTTTGCTTAATTGTTATGAAAAGCAAAATACCCTAAAATAAGCTTAATTTTATTTTGGCAAAATATAATTCTATTTTGTTCTAGAGTGAGATATGAACATGATCTTGACATTTTTCTTGTCCTTTCATAAGATTTACCCTTACAGTAAAAAAAGGCTATTACTACTTTGTAAACACTGCATTACAAATAGAATCATCACAAATGCAAGCAAACCACAGGAGGGAGGGAGTGAGTGGAGGAGAGGAAGAAAAAAGGCAGAGGGTAATTTTCTTATCAATGTGACCTCTCCTCTTTATCCTGATAAAGCACACAGCCAATGAAAAGACACAAAAATAGCATCTAGATACTAGGACTAAGAAGAGCATGAAATACGGTTTCTGTGTCCATTAGGCAGTGCTTACATTGGTTCCCAAGTCACACTGACACAAACGCACGCACGCACTAGCAATGGATGAATTATATATTATGTACAGACAAGACGGCCTTTAGACCACTACTCACTCACACACACACACTACTCACTCACACACACACACACACACACACACACACACACACACACACACACACAGTGTCAAACAGAGCCAGAAATATCACATTTAGATATTGAGCACGCATGATGACGTGTAAAAAAAAGAAAGAAAAACCTTTAAAAGTTTAAATCCACCAACAAATATACTTACCTAAGGTTTGTGTTAGTGTTTGACAGTTTCATATGGCATTACCTTATCACAGTGCAACTCCACATTCACGTCTCCTTTGTTTGTGTGCAGGCGGACATAGCCTTTCTTCTTAACATACTGGTAGCGAACGGTATCATCGGAAATAGCATCTGAAATCACAAGACAAATATTTTCATTCTCTGCAGCGGATAGCATTCACAACATTTTTGTATCATTACAGCCTTATACTAGTTTGAAAGAGAATGAACAGGTATGCAAGACCAATTTGACAGCTGCCAGATGGTTTCCAGAGGTATACTGAAGCCAGATTCACTCTAAATGAGAATAAAATACTAACACTTGCCAGGAGTTTCAGGTATTGCAATGGTCATGGTGACATTTACATTTGCACATTTAGCAGATGTTTGAACCCAAAGCAACTTAATGCATTCAGGATATGTAGGCATTAAAGGAATGGTTTACCCAGAAATGCAAATTTGCTGAAAATAATGTGGATGAATTTGTTTCTGCATCACAACAGATCTGGAGAAATTTAGCATTACATCACTTGCTCACAAAAGGATCCTCTGTAGTGAATGGGTGCCGTCAGAATGAGAGTCCAAACAGCTGATAAAAACATCACAATAATAAATAAGTAATCCACAGGACTCCAGTCCATCAATTAACATCTAGCAAAGCGAAAAGCTGTGTAACAAATCCATCATTATTTAACTTCAAATGGTTGGTTCTGGGTAAAATATGAGTCCTTTATCCATAATATTGCTTTCTCCATCTCATCTGAATCAGGAGAGAAATATGCATTGATCAAACAGTCCATAACATCTCTAAAAAAAATATGTCGCTGGATTCTGATGTGAGAGGACAACAGGGGATGAACTTTTTCACTGGAGGAAGCACTATTACGGATTATGGGCAGTCACAAGCTTCACAAGATGTTAATAGATGGACTGGAGTCGTGTGGATGACTAGTGGATTATTGTGATGTTTTTATCAGCTGATTGAACTCTCATTCTGACGGCACCCATTCACTAAATTTCTCCAGATCTGTTCTGATGAAGAAACAAACTTACCTACATCTTGGATGGCCTGAGGGTAGTAACAAAGAAAAGGAACCCTGAGAAGACTAATAGGACATTTGTGATCTGGCCATCATGATGCATATTTCACACAAATGTGACCCTGGACCACAAAACCAGTCTTAAGTCACTGGGGTATATTTGTAGCAATAGCCAAAAATACATTGTATGGGTCAAAATTATAGATTTTACTTTTATGCCAAAAAATCATTAGGACATTAAGTAAAGATCATGTTTCATAAAGATATTTTCTAAATTTCCTACTGTAAATATATAACTTAATTTTTGATTGCTAAGAACTTAATTTGGACAACTTTATACATATATATATATATATATATATATATACAAATAAATACATACACACATGCCAAGAATTTTACTAGGTGTGCATGTATTTTAGCTAATATGTGATGCAGTGATGCACTGAGCTAAAGATGATCACCGGTAAACTGAAGCGCTCTTTTAACTTAACCAACGGCATTCTATACGAGATAAATCAGATATACATCAAATAAACACAATAATACAACATACAATTGCACAAAAGGCTGCAAACGAACAGCGCGCATCTGAAGTGTCTCTGAAGGAAATAATGCATTATTTATCGGCTTTAAGATATCAGCAACATTTTCTTATCGGGCCGATACCGATAACAGAAAAAATGAGCATTTATCGGCTGATACCGATATGGTGGCCGATATATCGTGCATCCCTAGTATATCTACACATTATATTCATTCCCCTTGTTCCCCTTCTCGATCTATGTTTGTAAAATGATTGTTGGGAAAGTGCGTGGGTCCAGTGCAAGGTTTCTGATGTATATTAAGATAAGTCAGAAATGGATTCCAGATGTCTGTAAATATAAATATATTTTTCTTGTTTGTGTATGTTATTTTTTCTAATGCAATATATTCTATAAGAAGGTTAGTCCAGTAGTTGATATGTATACATTTTTTTGATTTCCAGTTTAACAGAATAATTTTTTTGGCGATAGTTAGAAAGATGAAGAGTGGATTTTTGTATTTAATCGGAAGATTATCAATTTCTGTAGTATTACCCAGTAAACAAAGTGATGGAGACAGAGGAATCCTACAGTCCATAATGATGGAAAGTTTATCGGTCACTAATATCCAAAATGAGCAAACAGGTTGGCAGGTCCATGTGGCATGCAAATAGTCATCGGTGCTGCCCAGTGTGCATTGTGAGCATATATCTGTATCGCTTAGACCCATTTAAAATTTTTTCCTTTGAGTGATGTGAGTCCTGTGAATTATCTTGTACTGTATTAGTTGTAGGCTTGTATTGCTAGTCATAGAAAATATATTACTACAGATTTCTTTCCAGAAGTCGCTGTTGGGGGAGGAAGCCAAGTCATTTTCCCATTTAGCAATTGGTAACGTTATTGTTGTATTGATATTTAATATAAGTTTATAGAGTTTGGATATTAATTTCTCAATTTCTCAATAAAGATATATCAATATCTCTTCCATCAACTGACAGGGATGCAGTGGGTTATTTATTACATTAATCTTGGATTTGATTATGGATTTTATTTGTTGATACTGGAGATACTGTTCTCCCCCAAGACCATATTTCTGGCCTAGTGTGTTAAATTATATAAGCTGGTTATTTTGAAATAAATGATAGAGGTGTGTTATTCCTTTTTGTTGCCATGATTGAAAATAGATAGGTTTGTTGTATAGCTGAAAGTCAGGGTTGAGCCAGATTGGGGTGTATCTACATGGTGATAGTGATTCATTATTAATCATATTAAATATTGTCCTATCCTAACAAACCATACATCAATGGAAAGTATATATTTCTTCAGTTTCGAGATGGTGTATAAATCTCAATTTTAAAAAATTGACCCTTATGACTGGTTTTGTGGTCCAGGGTCACAAATGTGACAAGAGCTAGCTAAAATGGTCAGCTGGCTAAAATTGGTATGAGTAAGAAAGGAAAGCAAGTTTCATTTATAACTCCATTACCTGCTTCATGGGTGGTGGCTGGAGCCATAGCTGTAGATGTGAAAGAGGCAGACACTCTTCCAGTGGAATAGTGTGCCTGAAGAAAGAGAGACAGACATGTTTAGCAGATAAGACTCTCCAGATAAGACAAAATAAGCTCTAACACCCACATCCAAAACAGCTAAATGATCTTCACATGCATGACATCACTCTAACACCTCCTAATGTGTCTATCACACTTAATAATAGTGTTTTATCACCCATTTGTGAAGACAGACAGACAGGTGGATATGTTTTATTGATTCCTGTGGGGCAATTCAGGTGCGTTTGGATGGGTCTATGTGCAGATGTTTCTTCTCAACAGGTCTGTGTTCCCAGCTGGCTTGCTAATCTTAAATGAACAGTGAACAAAATAGCCTTTTCTTTACCATTTTACATTTCAGTATTCAATGGAATTAATTTAACCCCTTAATTGTCACTCACATTTTTGAATATAGACGTGAAAGTGCACTATCCAAACTTAAATTTTTATAATTCATGAATGAAAATATTTTGTAACATGATTTTGATGTACCATTTTCATGGTAATGCAACATTTGATTTTAAAATGGTTTTCAAAGGATGAATTTTGAGATTTTAAGTTTTCAATTGATATATAATTCCTGATGATTTCTAAAGTGTGATGGAGAAAAAGGCAACAAAGAAGACTTTTTGTGACAAAGGTCAGAACTCCTGTTATGATGTAGATTTTAGAGGTGCACTCTTGTCATAAATTAATCTATTACTTTTCCTACATCATTTTTTAACAAAAAACAGTGGTAAAATATCTATTAAGGAGTCTTAGACCTTTTCCAACGACATATAGTTTGTCATGATTAGATTAGGATTTAATTGTAATATAGTGAAGTAAACGTAGGCCTCCCACAGAGGGGACGGGTGACAGTTTAGAGGTTAAAGTGATAAACTGCACTACACAAAAGTTTGGGGTCGGTAAGATTTTTTTTTTTTTGCATGTCTCTTTTGCTCACCAAAGCTGCATTTATTTGATCAAAATATAGTAAAACAGTAATATTATGTAATATCACAAATTAAAATAACTATTTTCTATTATGAATATATAAGTCACATTAAGGTATTTATTTCTGTAGCATAAACAATGCACAATCAATAATGCATTTTTTTATTATTTAAATCAATCACTGTTTATAACGGTTAAAAAGAAAAATACACATTTTGTTGAAATTTTGGCCTTCAAAAATGGTAATCAAAAATGGTAATAGTAATAGTTATTATGGTAATAGTTAATATTTGGGATATCATCCTTGTCTAAGTATGGCATAGAAATGGCAAAGCTAAATCAGTAGGAGAGTGGGCCTGGATGCCAGTCTATTTCAGCGTCACAATGCCAATCCAGCACAACTATGGCTGAAATAGACTGGCATTCATGCCAAAAGTCAAGCCAATTACATTCAATGCCTGCACTGTGAATTGGCTGAGCAAGCAAAGCTAATATAACTAAAAGCACGGGGGCAGACACACTTCAACCTGGGCTAAAAGAAGACTTGAGACACAGCCAGAGACGCACTTAAAACCATCGCAGATCAAGTATGAAAAAGAAAAACCCTCACGGTTTAGATACCAGGTATCTTATCTGGTGTCGTCTCTCAGAAAGTGACTAATTGGTATGTTAAATTTAGATCATTAAAACAAAAATGCAAAAAATTGACATGACATTCAGATGAAATTGTGATTCTTGCTGTGAGTGAATGTGGTTGGTTGAGGATCCTGCGAGGCGTTTTCTTCTGCTCCAGTTGCTGTGTGATGGTGGTAGAGTCTGAGAGGCAAATCACCTCATAATGCACAGACACGTCTACATACACGCATACACAGACACAGCAAGATACTTCACTGTGACCCAAACAGCACTGCACACAACTGTTTTATCTGGCCCTAAACACCTCACAGGAGACCCCATTAGCACCCATTATCACACTGCTGAAAGTTTGAGGTCTGTAAGGCTTTTAATGCTTTTAAAAGAAGTCTCTTACACTTACAAAGGCTTCATTTAATTGTTAAAAATACAGTAAAAATAATATTTTGAAATATTATTACAATTTAAAATTTCTCTTTTCTAATGTAATATATTTTAGAATTTAACTTATTCCTGTGATGCAAAGCAGAATTTTCAGCTTCAGTCATTATTCCAGTCTTCAGTGTCACATGATCTTACAGAAATCATTCTAATATGCCGATTTGACGCTCAAAAAACAATTTTTATTTATTGTTAATGTTGAAAACAGTTGTGCTGCTTAATATTTTCCAGGAACAATTATATATATTTTTAGGATTCTTTGATGAATAGAAAGTTAAAAAAAGAACAGCATTTTTTAAAATAGAAATCTTCTGTAATATAAATGTCTTAACTGTCACTTTTGATCAATTTAATGTGTCCTTGCTGAATACAAATGTTAATCAAGTATTTTTTGAACCAATGACAGATGTAATTTAGATTCATTTAAATTTAGCTTATTTCCACCTTTTAGAATTAAACGTTGTTTTTACTATCATTAAGACTTCTATATTTTTAGTTTTGATATGTGTGGATAACATTTTCATTTCTTCTGTATGATAAACAATTTTGGTACTGTGTTTAGTAACCATTTGACATCCAATTTCAAACCTAGATAGTGTAGCCCAACTAGTTCAAACAGTATTAGTGTCTGTGTTTCTTGTGATATATAACCACTTCAAAGTGACGACAAAAAGAAAAGAGAAATGAATCAATGAACACAGAGGAGAGAGAAGCATCTGCCCCTGACTACAGCTAGAAAGGCAAAAGCTTAAAATACTCACAGCGTTGAGCTTGTCTGTTTTTTTGGCTTCTGGCTCTTTCATGGTGGAGGCCAACAGCTCATCTCCTTTATAGTCCCTGTAGAGCTCTGCTAGTGTTTCTCGCGTCTCCATGTTTGTGCTTTTCAGATGGTATGATGGGCTCTGCTTGGCTTTCTCCTCATCTGTAGGGGATAACAAAAAATGGAGCTTATAAAAGTATCTCTACAATATAACACAACAGTCACAAAAACCTGATTACCTTGCATATGAAATATTTATATATACAGTGGGTACGGAAAGTATTCAGACCCCCTTAAATTTTTCACTCTTTGTTATATTGCAGCCATTTGCTAAAATCATTTAAGTTAATTTTTTTTCCTCATTAATGTACACACAGCACCCCATATTGACAGAAAAACACAGAATTGTTGACATTTGATTTTGAACTTTCTATTCCTTAAAAAAAAAAATTTAAATCAAGGTTTCCACAAACACAAACAAAGCACAACTGTTTTTAACATTGATAATAATAAGAAATGTTTCTGGAGCAGCAAATCAGCATATTACAATGATTTCTGAAAGATCGTGTGACACTTAATACTTCAAAAATGGCTGCTGAAAATTCAGCTTGGCATCGCAGAAATAAATTACATTTTAAAATATATTGAAACAGAAAACTTTGCAATTGTAATTAAATTTAAAAAATAATGTTTTCAATGATTTTTGCAATCTGTTGCATTGTGGAATATAGTGTGCTCTTTTGTAAACTGCAGTTTTATTTTTGCATTATTTATTTGCTAATAAAACTTTTTACTACAGTATATATTAATTTTATAATTAGCTTTTATTTATTTATTGTAATTTATGTTCATTTTAATTTTAAACAATAAGACACTGCTGCACACAAAATTTGCACACTATATACTGCAAGAGCAGTATGCTGTTCCCAAAATACTGAGACCTTTGCTGAAATTAACTGCACTTTTTGTACTGCACTGAAAACACTGAACTCACCAGGGTCGAGGACTTTCATATTGTTTTTCACATGGAAGAAGTCGGAGACATTGAATTTATCCAGATTCGTAGGATCCTGTGATATAAAAGGACAAAATTAGATGTTATATGACATCTTTGGATTTGCTGACAAACTATGTAGAGATCATTAAATGGGTCATAGGATGCCCATTTTCCACAAGTTGATATGATTTTTTAGGGTCTTAATGAAAAGTCTGTAACATAGTTTGGTTAAAATTTCTCAATGGTAGTGTAAAATACACCTTTTTTACCCTGTCAAAAACAGCTCTTTTCAGAGCACGCAGTTTTGTAGCATTTTTCTTTAAATGTTAATGAGCTCTGCTGACCCCGCCCTTCTTTTCCGAGCCGCTCTCAGAGAGTCCGTTTACTTTAGCCGCATTCATCGTGAAACTTGCTAATTAGCACAATATTAGGAAAGGCTATTTGCAAAGATTCATTAAAAAAAACCTTACACTCACTTCTTCTGTAGGTGAAGCTCGATCACAAATGATTCGCGCGAACATAGACGCATTTAGGTAGATCGGGGGCACATTCCCTTCAAAAACGAACGTAATCCACTGCGTCTTCAGCGGCTCAGATGTCGAGAGTAAATGACGACTGCTATGTTCATTATTACATCCAACAAAAGAACACCTCGGTCGCTTAGGAGTCATTCTTGTCTACATCTGCTCCAGTGGTGAAAATGACGGACTGATGACAGCTCACTCAGGGCGGAGCTAAGGTAAGACGCCAGTCCAGTCTGTGCTGAAACGCTACTGTCAATCAAACTATCGTGGGATGACCCCTTTAAGTAAAAAAAATCTAATAAATACTTGACTCAGGACTGCACAACTGTTATAAAACAGCTCATATCATATTTTTCCCTAAATAGAAAGACAAGTAAACACTATAATGAATTTGTTTTGGCACAGTTTTATCAGTTTAGTGGAAATGTTGCTGGCTGAACAGTTTGAGGGTTCGTCTGTTGCAACACACTCACACACTAACAAAAGACAGTTCAGGACCTTCTCATCTCTCTCTCTCTCCTCCACTCTGAGTGACCACCGTAGTATCCATTCCAAATAGGTCAGACAGTGAAACTGTACCACAGCCCGCTTCAGTCCTGCTATTTTAGCTAAACTCCCACTCAACCATCTCTCTGTTTTCAAATATTCCCCCCCATCAATCCTTTTAAAACTCCCCCAGCTTTCCCACCCCACATGGCTCCCAAAATAACCTCTGTGTCGGTCTGAAAACCCCGCCGCCCATCACCTCCCTGACGAGCTCCAGGGATAGACACGTCCAAAGCTCCCACTCTGAGCCATACGGCCTAATCTCACCCGAAAATAACTCCAAGTCCATTTCTATTTCTCCAAACACCCCCCATAACACCCATCAACTCTCTCCCTGACCCAAAATAAACCATGCAAGGACAGCATGGCTTGCTTGCTTTCTATGAATACAGGACACTGGAGGTCAGATGAACACACACAGAAAACACGGATTCAGTTTACAGTGTCTTTCACACATGCCCACGTTTCCCTGTCATACTACAGACTTCTATACTTACATAAGGGCTGTCAAACGATACATTTAACAACAGATTCTGTATTCCCATATTATTGCATACAAATGCACAGAAAATGTAAACATAAAACTCAACACTACCATTAAAAAGTTTAGGGTCAATAAGATGTTTTAAAATGTTTTTGAAAGAAGTATTTTATACTCACCAAAGCTGCATTTATGTGATCAAAAATACAGTAAAAAGAGTCATAATGTGTAATATTACTATTTTAAAATAATTTAAATGTAGTTTATTCTTGATGGCAAAACTGAATTTTCATTCAGTCATTAACATTTGATTAAAACAGCTGAAACTTGTGTACAAATCATATGTTAACATGTGGAAACAGTATTTTAACATTCATCCCGATTAAATGACTGTGGGATCAGTATTGTTATAGTTAACTAAAACAGATACTATTAAAAATTGTTCGCGGTGACTGAAATAAAGCAGAAATAAAATAAAATATTTAAGCAATAAAATATTAAAAATAAAAAAACATTAAATTAAAAAAAAGCCTTAAATGAAAATTAGAAATGTTGATTTGGCAAATAACAGAAATACGTTTAAGTACTAAAATTATTTAAATAATAATAAAAAAAATCTTAAGTTTTAATTTAAATTGTATGTGATTTAGCCATTGTTTTATATATATATATATATATATATATATTAAAATGAAAACTGAAAATATAGAAAATTCTATTTCTAATACAAAATATGAATAATTATTATAAAAGCTGAGAAGATATTTATTATTGTGGCATGCAAATGATTTCCTGTCTGTCAATCATCAGAATCAGCCTGACTATCTGTCTCTCTCTCGACAGCTGTAATCACTGTGGATGTGAACAGACTGTACATTGCCATTTCATAACACTGTAATCCTACAAAAAGCACAGGTTTTGACACACAGCCATATACAAACTTCAAACTAACTGGCTAAAAGCTGTAACTAAAATCTGTATGAAATCACAGCCATGCTGATATAACAGCACCTTCGCTCATGCGACATCGCTTAACCAAACTCAACAGTCATAAACACACACTCTCTGTGCCTGTCACCTGTAGTGTGATGAGATCCTGGCGAGTAAAAGGTTCATCTGTCAACAGGTCTTTATAACTCTTTGTCTTGATGTTGAGCTGTTCCACTGCCTAAACAAAACACACATCCACAGAATATTGACTATTCATGTACACATTTATACAGATTAAAGAAGATTATTGCATCAATAATAAATGACTGACGTAAGCATGATATTAAAGGGGGCATGAACAACCGGATTTTCCATGCTCTTTAGTGTAGACCTACATTTTCCACAATGCATGGAAACTGAACAGCAAAAATGGGTCATTCAGAAATCATGGAAGTGATGTCACAACTGCATTAATGACTTAAATTTAACTATATGGATTCAGAAAACCTGCAACAGTGCACGAGTCATATGGACTACTTTTATGGTACATACTTTTTGAACAGAAAAGAACAACATGAACTTCCAATTAAATTATCCCTTTGTGTTCCATGGAAGAAAAAATCCAACACAAGAGTGAATACATTCATTTAAATTGATAAATAAAATAATTTAAGATATTTTTTTTAATTAACACATTTATAATTTATTTATACAAATAAATATACATTTAGAAATATTTATAAAATAATTTAAGTGATTTTAATAAATTATTATTTTCATTTTTGGGTAAACTATTCCTTTAGTAGAAAAACAAGATGTTTAATTTAAAACAAATAAAATGGGTAAAAAAAAAGGAAAGAATTATGACTGAAAAACTGAATTATGACAGTTTTAGGTGCAAGAAAACTTGAATAACATTATAATTGGACCCCTAGAAACATGTGGGATGTAGTGCGTTTTACCTCATTAGAGAAAACATTTCCTGTGACTTTGTTGGCAACGATGTGGGAGTTGTTTGTGAACACTGTGTAGAGCACAGGACAATGGTACTTCCCTAAAGTACAGGAGATAAAGACAGAATATGCACTGTAGAGGACTTCAATCCATTATCTCTTGTCATTAGCACATTTTGTTGTTGACGCAGGCCAGGTAAGAGGATCACGAGCGTGCGCACACACTAGGGTAGGGCCGATAGATGATGCCATCGTCCATCGCCGATGGCTGATATAGACATCACGATGTTGAGCTGGCATTTGAATGACTAATTTGCTGTTAAACTCCTCATATGAATGCCTGCATGACATGTACAGGCGCATCTCAATAAATTAGAATGTCGTGGAAAAGTTCATTTATTTCAGTAATTCAACTCAAATTGTGAAACTCGTGTATTAAATAAATTCAATGCACACAGACTTGAAGTAGTTTAAGTCTTTGGTTCTTTTAATTGTGATGATTTTGGCTCACATTTAACAAAAACCCACCAATTCACTCAACAAATTAGAATATGGTTGGCAACGATGTGGGAGTTGTTTGTGAACACTGTGTAGAGCACAGGACAATGGTACTTCCCTAAAGTACAGGAGATAAAGACAGAATATGCACTGTAGAGGACTTCAATCCATTATCTCTTGTCATTAGCACATTTTGTTGTTGACGCAGGCCAGGTAAGAGGATCACGAGCGTGCGCACACACTAGGGTAGGGCCGATAGATGATGCCATCGTCCATCGCCGATGGCTGATATAGACATCACGATGTTGAGCTGGCATTTGAATGACTAATTTGCTGTTAAACTCCTCATATGAATGCCTGCATGACATGTACAGGCGCATCTCAATAAATTAGAATGTCGTGGAAAAGTTCATTTATTTCAGTAATTCAACTCAAATTGTGAAACTCGTGTATTAAATAAATTCAATGCACGCAGACTTGAAGTAGTTTAAGTCTTTGGTTCTTTTAATTGTGATGATTTTGGCTCACATTTAACAAAAACCCACCAATTCCCTCAACAAATTAGAATATGGTGACATGTCAATCAGCTAATCAACTCAAAACACCTGCAAAGGTTTCCTGAGCCTTCAAAATGGTCTCTCAGTTTGGTTCACTAGGCTACACAATCATGGGGAAGACTGCTGATCTGACAGTTGTCCAGAAGACAATCATTGACACCCTTCACAAGGAGGGTAAGCCACAAACATTCATTGCCAAAGAAGCTGGCTGTTCACAGAGTGCTGTATCCAAGCATGTTAACAGAAAGTTGAGTGGAAGGAAAAAGTGTGGAAGAAAAAGATGCACAACCAACCGAGAGAACCGCAGCCTTATGAGGATTGTCAAGCAAAATCGATTCAAGAATTTGTGTGAACTTCACAAGGAATGGACTGAGGCTGGGGTCAAGGCATCAAGAGCCACCACACGCAGACGTGTCAAGGAATTTAGCTACAGTTGTCGTATTCCTCCACTCCTGAACCACAGACAACATCAGAGGCGTCTTACCTGGGCTAAGACGAAGAAGAACTGGCAGTTTAGAGAGTTTGCAAGAATGTTTAGCGTCCCTGGTATGAAAATGATCGCTGCGAGACGCCGAGGCTTGAGAGAGTTGTGAGTGAGGGCGCGGGCGCAGATCCAGCTATTATAAGCTTTTTGGACTTGTCTTTGCCACTTAATTTAGCACTTTAGAAAGTTAATAAAGTAGGAAGTTTCAGTTTAGAGTCAGCGATATCTTTTTCTTATTTGCAAAAGATTGGAGATAATTTCGGTTCAATTATAGAATTTTTTATTTTTTTTAGTATCAATATCTGGCAACACTGCATCGCTGGCACTTAAACAAAGCAATCAAAAAAGCCCATGGACAGGTTTTTGCTGACAGGATACGACATTCGGTAAGGGAAACGCAAAAATTATCATAATATTATCTGTCATATACGTTATCAATGCTGTCAAAAACAGTAGCATTTAACACTAGTATGCAGATCTGTAGAACAAGTAGGTTACAGAATTAAATGAAATACGCAAAAACTAGCCATGAAGAAGTCTGCCATGTCATTCAGTATAGTTACATTTTCACAAATCATGCTATAAAATTTCATAAGAGCACTAGACAAAGTTATTGTAGTTATGTATTGTTGCAATAAACAACTGATCAAATTATCCACCCTTAAATATAGTTAAGTAGACCTATTAACAAATTTTGATGCAATAAATAGGGTATGATTTAAAAAATAATCATCCCTCCAAAACAGAGGGATGTAGACATGTAGACATCTACATGTCTGTCTCCTTTAAAGTGTTTATAGTGTATATAATATAACTGTATTTGTAGGGGTTATTATAACACAATTCTTTAACCCAACCCCCTAGCCCAATTCCATGGGAAAACCGTGGACTTGGCAACACTGCGACAGTAATGTCCACAACAGACATGAGTGCGGTCTCAGCGCAAGCACAACAGCTTGAAGTTTTGTCTAATTTGGCACGGTCTCCCTGCTGCTCTAATAGTAGTAAGGCTTTCCTCTGTGTACTGTATACATATCCTTACAAGTACAATTTTAGCTGTATTATTTATGTCCCCTTCAAAAATTGCTCGAGAAAATTTATGTTTATTGCCCCCCCCCCAACTGTTCGACGAAATTTACGCCCCTGGCCACACATCGCCATTTTGCCAAAATTTTCTTCAATAAAACGATCAAATAATCTAATCTAATTTAATCTAATAAAATCAAAAGCTTAGTTATTAAAAATAATTAATGCAACATTTTTATTTAACGTTTTTTAGCATTTTAAGGAGTTAAAAAATTTATTAATTAAAAACGTATTAGAACACGGAATGGCTGTATCTCTTTGCGACCACAACAAACGGGAGACTTTTCAGAAGCGCACTTCAGCTTGCCCTCAGCGCGAGAGTCAAACGAGCGGAAAAGGTACATGTGCCAAATGAGCTTCAGTAGAACAACAGGGAACTGCGGTCTGATGAGATATTGTTATATGTCAGTAAAACAAACTTTCCTGTCCTGTCAGTCATTTTACTGTGCTCACGGCGCACGCTCTTCAACTGTACGCGAAAATGAGGCGCACGCTCACTTCATTAATAAACCGCACTAGAAATTGCGAGCATACATCATCAGTTAAGTCACGAAATTACCAAAATGGCGATTAAAACTGCAAAACTGTGCATGCATGTATGTGCATTACATTTAAGAACGTCTCTAAAATGCATGCAGCCTACTGAAATATTCTGCATTTCGAGATCACAATAGGGCGCAAGATTATAGGCTATGTAATTTTTTTTATTTATAATTTAATGCACAAGTAGGCCAAATGTGAGCACAGTGCAGTTAAATACAAGAAAATATGCGCAAATTTTTCGTTAATTTGTACGAAGATGAAAAGAAAATGAAACCATATTTAAATGCATGAAAAAAAATTTCCTTTGTACAGAACTCGATTTAGGTAGGACAAAAGTGCTGCAATTAATTCATTTTGACAACTAATAGAATGTTAAACACTGACTGATAACTTTTTCAGAGTTCATTGATTATATAAAATTCAGTGAAGGTTGACTATAGTTATCTGCATGTCACATCCATGAGTGGGCCTATGCAAGAATGGAGAACAAGCAATGGTGCAATGGTGGAAACACATGTTTGTGAATGGGCATTTGATTTACATTCGAGAGAAACTAAGATTGTAAACAAGGATATAAACTAGTCACTTTTCACTGAAAATTGGTTGTAAATTCAAAATAGGCCATCTGTGTAATTCAAGTAGATACAATGAGTTGAAAACTCTTGCTACTTCATACTTCAATACAAAACAATGCTGAACTTTGACAAAAAATAGATTTTTAAATGTTATAATAGTGATTTTATAATGTCTAAATATAAATCCATTAGCAAAACATGTAAAAAGAACTTTATTAGAGTGGAAATGGTAAATGAGGCAATGAATGATCCTCTGCTGCTTTTTAGTGGTCTTAGTGGGAATAATGACTCATGAGTATTTGTTTTTCTACCAGGTGAAATCTTGGCAGAAATCTTTCACTTAGCATGGCACATTTTCCATGAATTATCTCTTTAAAAAAAAAAAAAACATTCCGGATGTTCTTTAAAATACATTTTACTATATAAAAATGTGCAAAAATATTAATAATTTTGAGGCAAATTATATATATATATATATATATATATATATATATATATTCAAATTACTCATCTAAAAAGTGTGCAATAGTACATGTGTTTGAAAATAAAAATTTATAAAAAATGTGTTCTACTGTCTGGGGTCTGCCATCAGGAGTTAAAGGAGCCGACACTGATCTTGTATACCCCTCGGCAAATATGCAGTTGCGCCCTTGAGCGGCAGTACTTGCCACACATTTCATTTGTTTGTCAGTGGTACTGAGGATCTGCAAATCATTCACCATCGTCCTCAGTCATCAGTCGTGTCGCGCCGCATCCAGTGTAGACAGCATCACTGATTATAATGAGTTCTATAGACTGATCTATATATAATAAATCTCTATTATAGATCAGTGGTTCTATAGTATTTTGTCACGCCACGCCGCGGAGTTTGAGAGTTGATGAAAAGCTAATAATTAACTGTAAAATATATTTTAAATAAATACAAAGGGCTGTGCTATAATATTATATGGTGCTTAAGTGTAATTTTTAAATTATAGCTGTGATTTAATTAAATAACTGATGTCTGATGTGCTACGCTTTTCAAAATTAATTAAAGGTATATATTAGTATTGTATCTTGTAGTGTAAAATAAAAATTAGAATTAATTTAAAATAATAATACATTTGCAAGATAAAAAAGTGAGGCCTTGCTTTGCAAACACCTCTAACACTAATATTATTCAAATTGATTGGTTTCCTAAAACACCAGTGTGAATGTACAAGTTTGAGTTTACATTAAAGTCCAACACAAAGTCAAAATTAAACAATTACTAAAAAAGGTTGACATTTTGCATTTATTGCATGTCATGTGACCATTAACAGGCATCAGAGAACTGTGAATATGCAAAAGTGACATTAAATTATTTAAAAATTAATTTAAAATCTCAAGGGGTACTTCAAGTAAATATTTTCTACTGGGCTGACAAAAAGGTTTGGGAATCCCTGTGATATACAAGTAAACCAACACACATAACACGTATCTAATAACCTGCCTCACTGCTACCCATTTAAACACAAACTTGTAAAGCAGAACACATGAGAGCATGATATCTGCACAAGAGAAGAAGTCCTGGCATGTCCAAGAGGTCTCTGTAAAAGTCACTTAAACACACACACACACACACACACACACACACACAGTCTGTGTTTCTCATCAGCCCTAGTCAACTCCAGCACTTACTTTCCTCCTCTTCATCTAGTGAAGCAAATCAATCATGAATACTTCAGATAACACAGTCACACACACACAAAATCACAGTGGCATGTCCAGACATGCTCTCACTCAGATGCACAGCTATAAAGATGTAAAGATGCATTACAGATGACAGCCATGTGCCTTGATGGACACTGAATATGGATTTTAAAGCGAGCAAATACAGGACGCCCTACATCACGCTCCGTGTAAACATTCACACAACTTTTGCTGATGCTAGTGCTAACCGATTATGCATGCATCGTGCACACAGAGATCCTATAACCCCTATTCCATAAATTAAGAGTGCAGTGACGTGCATCCAGTGAACTGATTATACAGCAATTTACACCCACATCCACTCCTGGCACACTGAACGCTGTTAGCCACCATCAGCGGGCCTGTGAAATATCTTCATTATAGTCTCAATAATGATTTCTAGATGAGCACAGTAATAGATTATTTTCCCTCTAAGCACAGCATTAAGCTTGACTACTCTCCAAAACATAAAATGAAACTCTCAAAGCAGAAAATTCCTACTGTTTGGCAGCATGTAATGAAATTAAGATTATGAAAGGCTTTCCGTTATTTTAATTTTTTTTTTGCCACTTTCATCTTATTTAGTTTCCTCTTTTATTTTTATTTTGTTTAATGACATAGAATTTTTTTTTTTTTTTTTTTACTTTTTACTGTTAATTTTATTTCTTATGCATCTGTTATGATTATTTTTAAATCCTTTTGGGTACAATAGAGCATTTTCCCTCTAAGTAACATATTAAGCTTGACTACAAAACATAAAATGAAACTCTTAAAGCAGAAAATACCTACCGTTTGGCAAATATGTAATGAACTTATGATTAGGAAATGCTTTGGGTTATCGTAACATTTCATTTGCACTTTTTTTACCAAAGTTCATTGTGCTTTGAATGTTTTTCAGAGTGTTCCTATGTAGTTGCTAGGGTGTTCTGGGTTGTTACTAGGTGGTTAATTACTGGTTTTATTTTAGCATTAAATCTATGATATTGTAGCATTTAAAATTATTAATATTAATTTCCTTTTATTTTATAATTGATATCATATAACATGATTTTTATCATTTAAATTTTAGTAATTTGGTATGTCCTTTTGCCATATATATATATATATTTTTTTTTTTCTATTGCTTTTGTCATTTTTTAAATATATATTTCTATTTAATTTATTTTAAATTATGTTTTAAATGTAATATTTATATTATCTTTTATTTCAATTATTTAAACAAAAAAAAATATTTTTAATAGTTTTAGTTAACTGGTTACTGGCCCAGGTTAAAAAAGCCCGCATATGAGGTTCAGGAAAATCTATGCGATTTTTCGCCAAGTTTATTATCTGAAAAGTAAAAATCATAAGTCTAATTGCATAAAGAAGTTCTTACACATCTCTACTCAGTATGTCACATGATTCAAGGTCCGCATCACAAACAAGTTCCAAGTTTATTACTTAGAGTAGGAGGTTTTCTAACCCTAAATACTAGCTTGCTTTATAGAAAACAGCACTAAATATGTTTCTTCTAAAACCTGCAGTGCTTTTTAAATCATGTACAACAAGAGATTCTGGTTTAAAGCTTTGGATACTCTAGGATGCACAGGCAAGCACACAGACAGCATCATCTGGAGTTGATAATATTGCAGTTTACTTGCTGTCATCAGTTAAGTCTTGGCTTCTCCTCAAATGGAGTCTGACGTCCTCTAGTGGTTGAATCCATGCAGGATTTTTTAATCATAAAGTGAAGTGACTGTGACTTAATGTGTGGCCGAGTATGGTGACCCATATTTAGAATTTGTGCTCTGTATTTAACCCATCCAAGTGCACACACAGAGCAGCGAGTAGTGAGCACACAGCCGGAGCAGTGGGCAGCCACGTGCTGCGGCTCCCGGGAGCAGTTGGGGGTTCGGTGCTTTGCTCAAGGGTCTCGCCTCAGTCGTGGTATTGAAGGTGAAAGAGAGCTTTCACCTCTAATGATTTTAAAGTGTATTGGTCCGTCTCAAATAAATATTACACATCATAAAAACTGAAATACCTCTCCTGTTATGGGGTTGGTACCAAACTTCTTAATCCAAGGCACAATGCTCCTAAAGAGAAAACAAATAATCTTTTTTAAGGCTTTTGAAAGAAGTCTCTTATGCTTACCAAGCCTGTGTTTATTTGATTAAAAATACATTCAAATGTAATATTTTGAAATATTATAACAATTTAAAATAACTTTTCTATTTTAATACATTTTAAAGTGTGATTTATTCCTGTGATGCAAAGCTGAATTTTCAGCATCATTACTCCAGTTTTCAGTGTCACATGATCCTTCAGAAATCATTCTAACATACTGATTTGCTGCTCAAGAAACATTTCTTATTATTATCAAATGTTGAAACTGTTGTTGTGCTGCTTCATATTTTTGTGGAAACCAAGTTTGCTCTTTCAGGATTTTTCGACAATGGACAGTTCAAAAGAACAGAATTTATTCTAAATAGAATTTTTGTAACAATGTAAATGTCTTTACTGTTACTTCTGATCAATTTAATGCATCCTTGCTGAATGAAAGTATTAATTTTGCCCCCCCTTAAACTTTTGAAGGGTAGTGTATGCAATAATAAATATACGCTACTATAAAAAAGTATATAATTAATGTAAGCTTTTATTAAATCATGAATGCAAATAACAGCTTTACAAATGACTCGTTTTTTAAATTTGTAATATACTCACATTAGGTCAAAAACGACCCCATCCACTGTGCACATGGGATACTCAAAGGGCTGAAGAGACAAACTGTGCAAGAGATAAGAGATGAACATTAAAAATCATGCATACAGTATGACACTAAACTAAAACTCCTGTGTGTCATTTCCGAGCCACCAAACGGATCTACAAACATACTGATTGTTTCCAAATAGTCTCCCCATCTTCCACCGAAATGACAGAAGAACAGCCCAAACTCACATGATTTTTTGAGACACATCAGGCTGCTCCAATAAACAGAGCAATGTTTTAAAGGGGTCATATGATGCGATTTAAATTTTTCCTTTCTCTTTGGAGTGTTACAAGCTCTTGGTGCATAAAGAAGATCTGTAAAGTTGCAAAGACTAAAGTCTCAAATCCAAAGAGATATTCTTTATAAAAGTTAAGAGTCAGCCACACCTACCTAAAACGGCTCCGACGTGTTTGAGAGAGGCGGGGCATAGAGGACCTACCATAATGTACAGTATTTGAAAAATAATGTGTTTTTTGAACATTAAAGCATGTCAACATATTCTGTTACACCAAATACACAAAATAATGATCTTTAAAATAGCATCATATGACCCCTTTAAAATACCATAATTTTCAGAAAGTCTAACTAAAACCTGTCTCTGCATATTAAACTGGAACAGAAGAAAATTATTTTGAAATAAATCACTGACACAACAGCTTTAACTCACAAAAAAACAAAAAATGAAAGCATTGTTTAAAACCCCAGATCAGGAGTTATGAAAGCAGAATATATTGCACTAGACCTAACTTACTGTTCAGAAGAAACACAAAGGACTTTTTATCAAACATGAAAGAAGTGAAATCTCACCTGCAGTGATCAAAGGGCAGACGTCTGAAATTGGCTCGTGGGATTTCTATAAACATGATGACAAAAGGCTCATTTATTTTATTCCAGTGCGTTTCAGAGGAAAATGCACCAGCAGTATCAAACATAAAGTGCACAAAATAAAACTATATGTGGTGCAATCAGTCAAACAACATAGCGAATACACTACCATGGAAAAGTTTGGGGTTTGTACGTTTTTTTTAAAAATGCTGTTGAAATAAATATCCTGAAATATTATTAAGGTTTAAAATATCTGTCTTCAATTTGAATTTATTTTAAAATGTTATTTATTCCTGTGATGCAAAGCTGAATTTTCAGCATCATTACCAGTCCTCAATGTCACACGGTTCTTCAGAAATCATACTAATTTGCTGATTTTAAGAAATATTTCTTATTACCACCAATGCTGAAAACAGTTGTGCTGCTTAATATTTTAGTGGAAACCATTATATGTTTTTTTTTTCAAAAGAACAAGCTCAAAACAACAATTTACTTGAAATCTAAATCTTTTGTAACATTATAAATGACTTTACTGTTACTTTGGATCAATTTAATACATCTTTGCTGAATAAAAGTGCAAAAAAGAAAAAAACACCTTACTGAGCCCAAATTTTGAACGGTAGTGTACTTTCTTTGCACACAAAAGTCAGGTTTTACAATCGGCAATGTGTTTATTTCCCCTCACATGACATGACACTTCACTTGACTTTATAAAATATACATACTGCATAAACCGCAAATGTAAAATAGTCTCTGAATACAGTTTTCATTTGTTTTACTCATATTGTAATATGTATCCCACAATGTTTTGTGTTTACTGTTGAATGTTCACCAGATGTTTTCTTAACACAAATAAGTTCAGTAAATCCAGACTAGTTTAAGTACCTGATTTCTTCCCTCCATAAAACTGAGTGTATTCTGTACATGTGATGTACCTGAAACAGACAGATATAACGAAAGTTATTATAATTATTGAAGAATCAGAATTCAATTAAAACAACAAATGGGTAGCAGTTTACTATTACAGCGCTAGAACATCACGGCAACAACAAAAAAAGATACAGCAGTTGCAATTGGAAAGACGCATGAATGACGGCTGAACTTTACAGTTTTAAAACAAATACGTTATGAACCTCAGATCACACATAACACGATATCACTGCAATAAAAAACATACTAATTTTGTTTCAAGTGAAATCATCAGACAATAACTATAGAACGCTCAATAGTTACTGCTGAGTGCAAACACGTTATATTTTACTCGCGTTATGTTTCATTTCAACTCACATCTTATCTTTTTGATGCTGTCTTTTCCCCATTTTTGTGGACGAAGAGGTTGTAGCAAATAAAAGAATAAAAGCTTATATAAGCATAAACAACCAAAACAAAACCTCCGACTGTTTAAGACATACACTTCCGGTCCGTGTTCAGTGCAACAGCAAAATGTGTCCGACGTTCTTCTTCTTCTTCTTTTTCTTCTTTTTGTTAAATGCCACCTACTGTATATCTTGCGCACATCAGGAACATACTATTGGATACATCTGGATTGGTATCAATCAAGGGGGGAAAAAAAGAAAAAAAAGGGGGACACTTGTAATGCCGCACCCACCCCAGAGGATCAGAGCCCAAACTTAAGCTGGCGCTGCATGTTCAGCTCCTCCAGCTTCCACACTGTGCTCCTCAACCTCCGAGATGGGCAGAATTATCATGATCCTCAAACACTAAATCCTGCGGTCTAATCCTGTGAGCTCTAAAATGTTAAAACCACCTTAACCATCTGACTATCACTCAAACCCTTTCCCAGAAGGTCCACGGCACTCACTGGCCTGTTCCTTCTATTGCTAAAAAGACTGTTACGCTGATCTTCATATTTACTACATTTAAAGAGCACATGCTCTACTGTTTCAAAAACATCACGTTCATCACACATACCATTTTCATGCTTCCCTGTTAATGCAAGTGTTGAATTTAGTCCTGTGTGACCCATCCGTAATCTAGAAATCTTTACTTCTTCCTTTCTGTGTCTTCCATAAAACTGTTCTTTTTTCCCTACTGATTTCACAATACTATAATACCACCTACCTGTGCTGCTATTTTCTCCTCTTTGTTGCCATATTCTTATTATTTCCCTATTAATTACTGATTTGATCTCATTTCTTCCCAGAGGTACCTTAACATCCACCAAGTTTTTCTTTAATGCTTCTTTTGCTAACTTATCCGCTGTTTCATTCCCTACTATCCCGATATGTGTACCCAACAAAAGTATACAATTATACTCTCTATTTTCAGTCTATACAGTAATGTATAAATTTGTACTAGCAGGTCTTCTCTATCAGTTTTTGGCAACAATATACTTTTAAGAGCTGATGAAGAATCTGAGCAAATTACAGTCGGAGTCCTATTTGGCTTAATCTGTTCTACCCACTGCAATCCTACTATTATAGCAGTTAATTCTGTAGAAAATACGGACAATTAGTCACTTAACCTTAAACTTATTTTCGTCTTAAAGGGGTCCTATTATGCTTTTTCACTTTTTTAATTTTAGTCAGTGTGCAGTGTGAATGTTTGGGCATAAAAAAAGATCTAGAAAGTTACAAATCTCAAAGTCCACTCCAAAGGGAGATATTTCGTTTTTTAAAAATCCATTTTCAAGAACTACAACGAACGCCTCGTTTGGACTACAGCATTTGTTTTCCGGGTTTTGTGATATCACAAAGCGGCCCATTAGAATATCATTAAAATAATTCCCGACTACGGAAATGAATGGTTGGGGGGTGGGGAGGGGCGAGGTTGTGGTTAGAACGCTTGGTTGAAAAATCAAGACTTTGTAAAAGAGCACAATAGGACCCCTTTAAATCTTGGAATGTACACCTCTATGCCCACATTTTGTTTGATTGGGTCTTTAGATCCATCTGTACAGATCTGTATAAAAGAACACAATTTTTCTCTCATAAAAACATTGATTTCATAACTATTAGTATATCTTTCTTCTGCTTTTTCCCGGGCCTCCAACAATCTCATTTCAACAATAGGTTCAGGAATATTCCATACCGATACCCCGTTTAATGGCATGTTGGGACAGATTACTTCATTCTCCAGACCACAATCCTGTGAAAAAGTGTTCATACTTCCATCCAAAACTATTCCCTCCATTCTTTTTATATTCCCAACAATCATTTAAAATTGTGCGTGTACGATGATTCTTATTACTACCCTGTAAATTAACCCAATACATCATCGCAAGCTTTTCTCTTCTTAAATCTAATGGCATCTCCCCCATTTCAACCCTGATGGCATCTAGGGGGGTTGACCTTATTGCTCCACAGCAGATTCTAAGTGCTCTGGACTGTATGTTGTCCAGTTTCTTTAAGTCTGATTTTGCTGCAGCACCATACACTGCACACCCATAGTCTATACTAGACCATATTAAGGCTTGATATACATGTAACAGTGCACTTTTTCTTGCTCTCCATTCACACTTAGCTATTGAAGTCATGCAATTTATTACTCCTTTGCATTTGTTTTCAATTTTCTTAATATGTCTCTTCCAAGGTAATTTTTCATCAAATATTAATCCAAGATATTTGAACTCTGTCACTCTTTCTAACAATTGATCATAGAATTCAGAGTCATTTGTTCCATTTTCTTTTTCTTTTTAAAAACCATATATTGAGTCTTTGATACTGAAAACTTCAGTCCCCAATCTACTGACCACCTTTCAAATTAATTTATTGATTCTTGTATTCCTTTAACTACATTCCCTAAATTCCTACCTCTTTTCCATACTGCACCATCATCTGCATATAATGCCTTCTCAATGCTTGGTTTAACTCTTTCAAACATATAGGTAATCATTACATTAAATAAAATTGGACTGATTACACTTCCTTGTGGAATCCCATTCAGGATATCATACGATGCTGACATTTCTTCCCCTATTCTTCCCTGGAATGTACACTCAAACAAAAAGTCTAATATCCAATTATACATTCTCCCCCTATTCCAATTTTATTTAACTTCATTAACAGTCCCTCCCTCCATAAAGTGCCATATGCCTTTTCAATGTCAAAGAAAACAGCAACAAGAATCATTATTAGAGCTTTTTTAACATCATTTTCAAATAATATCAGAGCGTCCATTGTAGATCTCTTTTTCCTAAAACCACTCTGAGCTGATGATAATATTTATTTTTTCTCCAAAAAATAATTCAACCTTCTTACTATCATTTTCTCCATTACCTTGCATAATGTAGATGTAAGAGCAATTGGCCTGTAACTATTAGATTTTGTTGCATCTTTACCTGGTTTCACTACTGGTATCACTATTGCACTTTTCCAATCTTTGGGTAAGGTGCCTTCATTCCATATATGATTATATAAATCCAATATTGCTTTAATGGCTACATCTGGTAAATTCTTTAACATACTGTAACTGATCATGTCTCTCCCTGGCGTTGTATTCTTTGAATTGCTAATGGCTATTTTTAACTCAAAAGAATTAAAATCCTCATCCATATTACTATCAACTCCTTGTTTTTTCATACGAACATGCTCATATTTTACTTAACTCTTGTCTTCTTTTTAAGAACTTATCATTCAAGTTTTCAATACTATTAACTTTAGCAAAAGTTTTGGCTAAGACTTCTGTCTTTTCTTTATTCGTTCTGGCCATTTTCCCTTCCTATTCAATTAAAGGGATCTTTTTATAATTATTAATACCATTCATTTCCCTCATCATTCTCCATACCACATGCATTCCAGTCTCTCTCCCAATTGTGTTACAGAATTCCTGCCAAGCCTTTCTCTTTGCACTTTTAATTACCCTTCTTGCAGCTGCTCTTTTCTTCTGATATTCTACAGCTATATCTTGAGTTATTAACCTTTTTAAAATCAGGAATGCTTTATTCCTCTCTCTAAATTGCACTGTGCACTCTTCAGACCACCACGGTACACTTAGATTCTTTATCTATCTATCTATCTGTCTGTCTGTCTGTCTGTCTGCTGGATGGCTGGAAAATAAATTGCTGAGCTTTATAAATAAAATGTGTTATTTATTTATAATGTATTTATAAATAAAACTGAGTGGTAGCCAGGGTTATCATCGTAAACTAAACACACACACACACACACACACACAAACACACACACACACACGTCTGGTTCCTTGTAGGGACTCCCCATAGGCATAATGGTTTTTATACTGTACAAACTGTATTTTCTGTCTCACTACAGCTAAACCTACCCCTCACAGAAAACTTTCTGCATTTTTACAATCTCAAAAAAACTCATTCTGTATGATTTATAAGCTTTTGTACCCATGGGGACCTCAATTTAGTCCCCATGAGTTGGTGTATTCAGGTTTAAGTCCCCACCAGTGTAGAAAAACCTGTACACACACACACACACACACACACACACACACACTCTGTCCAGCAGACATTTTTGTTGCCAAGTCAGCATTTTCGTTGAGTTGAATGAAGTAGGCTACTAAAACGTAACTAAAAAAGAAATCTAGACTAATTAAATTTTTTTAATAATAATAAATAAAATAAAAATGACAAAATCACACAACAAAATCCCTAAAACTTTAATGAAATTAAAATGAAAACAGAACATATAAAATAAAAACGAACTTCAAATATTTTATCAGTGATACTAAAATTACACTGGCGTTAGCTCATTATGTCACATCATAACCATAAATAAAATAATTTCTTACCCCTCAAACACAGGATGGTTTTTCTTCCAGGCCTGCTGGCAGGTAGATGAGTGCATGATGGTACTGAAATGCATTTATGAAGTGGTTATCTTCCAATGTGGTGCACTGCCAATCCTTTCTTCTTTGGGGGTGAACGGAGATAGGGTAGTGTGCATTATCAAACAGCACAACTGCAACTGCCAGAAGGTTTTTCTGCAAGAGTCTAACCTGGGTTAATCCCATTCATAATGCACTTCAGCTCTATTTTTGTGAGAATAGAATGTGTGTATATTCACATGCAACATCTACAAAAGGTAACAGAAATCAGTTGTGTTTATTCATCATTTATCCATTCTGAACTCTGAAAGACAGAAGAGATGCTAACAGTGATAGTGAAACATGAACAAGACACGTGTATGTTACATAAAGTTTTTATTTTGTCATCTTTCATGGATTTCATTATCGGAGTTACTTATCGTTCATGTGATGATAATACTAAAGCTCCGAATGAGTCTAAACCAGTTTAAGAAATTATTGCTATTGCCATTGGCACCAACAATAAGAGCTTCAAATAATGAGGTCAGTCAACAGTAGTTGATTCCTTTTTATGATTGATTCAAGCACCCACACACTACATACATGTAATACATAGTGGTGACTTACTGTACATTTCTGAACACAAAACTAACATGTTAAAGATGTGACTGTCACCACTTATTTTGGGTAAGATTCATTTAAATATGAAAATGTTTT